GAACGCGCGCCGCCGAGGGCCGAGAGAGAGGGGGCCGAGAAGGGGGCCGAGGCGCGGGCCTCGCCCGCCGCGCGGCCTCCCCCCCCCCCCCCCCGGGGGGCGGGGCGGGGCGCGAGCCGCTCCCGCCCTCCGCCCTGAGGGGAGGGGAAGGGAGGGGAGGGGAGGAAGGGGGGAGGGGGCGGCCCCCGGCCCGCGCTGAGGGACCGTGGGGTCACGGAATCAGGGAATCACGGAATCGCGGCGCCTGCAAGGTTGGAAGATCATCTGCTGGTTTGAGATCATCTACTGGTTTAAGATCGTCTCTTCCAACCGTCAGCCCAGCACCGTCACCGTAACCCCTAAACCACCCCACATCACCCGGCGGCAGATGCAGACGCCTCTTGAAGGCCCCAGAGGGGACTCCGCCACCTCCCTGGGCAGCCCCTTCCGAGGTCTGACCGCCTGGACGGTGAAAAGTTTTTTCTAATCTGTAGCGTCGCGGCCCCGCTCGCTCCCGCGCTCGCCGTGCCCTCAGGAGCGGCTGCCATCCCTCGGCCCCGCAGAGGGTGGAAGGCAGGGCCGACAGGGATGAGTAAGGGACTGAGCATCTCCCTGAGGAGGAGGCACTGCAGGAGCCGGGCCTGGCTAGTCTGGAGAAGAGAAAACTGAGAGGGGATCTCATCAATCCGTGCAAATATCTCCAGGGGGTGTCAGAGGATAGTACCAGATTGTTTTCAGTGGTGCCTAGAGACAAAACAAGGAGCAATGGCCATAAACTAAAACAAAAGAAATTCTACCTCAGCATGAGGTAGAATCCATTGAGCAGAGCATTGGACCATCTGCCCAGGGAGGGCATGGAGACTCCCTCTCTGGAATAATCCAAACCCTGTGTCATCTGCTCAAGGTAACCATCTCCAGGGGGCTGGACTGGGTGATCTCCAGAGGTGCCTCCCAGTCCCAGCTATTCAGTGGTTCTGGAATTCTGTGAAGCCACCTTGCCTATTATCCCCCTGTGAGGTTCATGATCCTGGCACTGGCTGAGCAAGGCTGTGGAACAAGCAGGGTCTCAGCAGAGGTTTGGCAGCCATCTCGGCCAATCTGTGAGTCAGGTAACAGTGGAAGTGTGTGCTGAGGGGAGCTGGGTGTGTGTTCCCCTACCTCACTGCCATCCATCCATCTCAGGATCCTCAAAAATCCCTGGAGAAACATCCTGTTCCACTATAACCTGAGATTAGTTCAGTTGGTCAGGGCGCCACTAACACAAAGGCTGTGGGTTCCATCCCCGTAAGGGCCATTCATTTAAGGTTTGGACTTGATGATCCTCATGGGTCCCTTTGGACTCAGAATATTCTGTGATCTACAGAAGCTGTTCTGGTGTGCAAGGTCTTCTGGCCGCGCTTTCCTGCGTTGCTTTGGTGACATTCAGCTCAGCTGCAGGAACATGTGTGGCCCCACGCCACCAGGCCACGCGCTGTCCAAGCCACCCTGCGCAGCCCGCGGCTCCTAAGGCATGAGGTAATGGGCAGCTGGGAGCCAGCACGAGGCAGGACTGCCAAAAACCACATGGAAACTGAGAGACAAGTGATAAAGCAAAAGGCCTGTGAGCGTTAAGCTACAGAAAACACAGGAAAGCTGGAGAGTGGCAGCAGTGTTGGAGGTGGCAGAAACATTGCTGGTTCCAAAATGAAGCTCTAGCTGAGCCTTGTGCTATGGAGCTCCTTTCCAGAAGCAAGATTTATATCTGGGTTTTGTTGCAACTGTGATGGATTGTTAATGTTTTATTTTTATACATAGCTTTAATTTACAATACCATATGTAGGTCAGGTTGTACTTTTGCAGGAGATTTCCACCTGCTCCTCATGTTTGCCTTGATCTGAAATGAAATGCTTGCAAGTAGCTATAAAATGCACTCCTAAATTATCCCCAGGACTCTCCCTCTGAGTCCAAGGCTAGTCATTGTAACAGATGGACTTCAGTCTGTCATTAGGTCGTGTCTATGCTGGAAGGAGCATAAGTGTTCAGAGGGAGCAATGCAAAATACAGAAGCCTGTGTCTTCTCACTCAGATATGAGCCACGCAGTGAGCTGTGTTCTGGTTTGGCTCCCTTGGTCAGGGACAGCAAACATTTGAAAGGGAGTTAATCAGCCCCTCTGAAAGGATTTTTTCCAACAACAAGCCATCATCTGAATGCAAATGTGATCTGAATGTCAATATGTACTTTCAGAGGAACTTTGGAAGAAATACAGGTAACTGAAGGGAAAAACAGGATTCCTGGCCTGTTTACACCCAAAAGAAATGAAAATATGTAGAGCCAGTAGAGCTGTAGCTGAAAAGGATGTGTGTTGACAGCATCAGCAAGCAAAATATGAATTTTGAGAAGTCCCTGTTAAATGTTGCCTTTTGCAGTGTGCCTGGAGGGAGATCAAATGTGACCTACTTTGGGAAGCTGGATCCTGGAGACCTGGGGCTCCTGTACAGCAGAACCTGCTGGGTGCTCCTTCTGGTCCTTAAAGAGGGGGAATCCTGCAGTGCCATCCCTGTGACAGGAAATGCTGGCACTTCCAGCTGCTTGTTATATTTGTACATTTTATCTTTACCAATGTAGTCACACACAGTGCATGGAGACATTCCATATCTTGTGTCCCAAACCTCTCTGTATCTTGTGTTCCAGTCTATTTTTTAATTCATGGCCCAGTGTTAAATGACTTTTGCTTCTATTTTCCATGATGATCAGGGCAAAGGATAAGAATTATTTTATGGAAATGGAAATTACTGGACCCAAAGGGAGAGCAAGGCCTCTGAGAACCTGACATACAGCTCAGGGAATGAGGTGTTCCCAAACCCAGAGTCCTGAAGGACCTGGAGTCTATCCTCACTCATCCAGTAGAGGGGTTTTAATTTGGGAGGTGGAGGGTGGTAATGAATTATGGAGGACCTCCTGAAGCACTGGCTGGTTTTAAGCAGGAGGAAGTAAAGCAATCCAACCATTTAGACACCTGTTAGTGTGACCTTAAGAGCACTCAAAGCTTAAAATATAAAATAAAAAGGAAAAAGTTGGGGACAGGCAAGTAAGTTTAAAACTGTAAAATAAGAATGTGATGTGACTTTACACATATACATGCATAAAGATTGATTGCTTTAAACTAAGATTAACTAAGATTATACCCTTGATTGTTGTTTCCTAGACATGGATATATCATAGATACATTAACTTATTCAGTAAATTAGTGGAAAGCAGGTCCATAAAAAAGATAGCTAGGTGGAAAAGGTAGGGAAGTCACCTCAAACATGCACCAGCTGTGGATGCAGCAAGGGAATTTGTGGGATTACAAAGGGAAGAGTGGGCAGAAAGTGCCTGGATTGCCATGTTCCCCCCAGGTAGCCTCACCTCCCTGGATCCCAAGACCACAGCCTGGCCCGTGTGTGCTTTTGCTCTTGCACAATGTTTTTCAGACAGGCCTTGGAACAAAAGGTAGGAGGGAGCTGATGGCATTTGCTGATGGCACAAAGCTGGGAGGCACTGGCTGTGCAGCAGGAATAGCTGTATTGCTGGAAGAGCTGGATAACATGGAGTGCTGGCACACTGGAAATGGGATGAAATTTAATAGTGGAAAGTACAAGGTCATGCCCTTGGGAATTGCTAACAAGAATCTCTGCCGCAAGCTGGGAGCTCATCAGTTGGAAATGACAGAAGAAGGGAAAAATCTGGGTGTATTTGTTGATCTGGAGATGACGACAAACTCCCAATCTGAAGCAGATCTGACAGAAAGCACACACACACGGAGGTATTTCCAGGAGAAGGGGAATGTTAATGCCATTATAGAAGCCTCTGCTGCAACCTTCTCTGGAATTATGCATGCAGCTCTGGTCACTTTTAATCAGGGGACACAAACTTGAAATGTGACTGGAAATTAATTATAGGCTAATCCTGATTTTTTTTCTTATACAAGGATCTTGAGATAATTTGTTTAGCCAGAAAACCTGAGTGCTGAGAAAAGATACAGTTCTTTGTGAAACTTAGGGAGTAAACACAGCAGTAAACACATCTCCCTTAAGAGCAAGGGTGATGTTCCTGTGCGAGAAAACAAGTATCCGATGGCCATGAGAAGTCTGGGCTGAAACATGAGAACACACCAGAGCTTCCAGCAGCTCAAGTCCCGAGGCTCTGGGTCATCCTTCCCAGAGCTGCTGTCCCCTGATGCCATTGCCATCAGCAGCTGACCCTAAAAGCCCAGTGAGTCCCTTCCAAACTGTTCTTACCATTTGAGGCACAGCCACGGAGTTACCAACTGGCTTCTTATGGAAAGAAAAGAGGTGCCTGGTGTGAGAAGGTATTCCTTGGGCTGCAGTTGCAGGCCAAATGTCACTTGAGTGATTGGCTGTGTTAAAATCTGCACATGGTGGTGGTGAGGTGAGAGCAACCTGTCCTGGGTCACCCCACCCTGGTCCCTCAGATCACCTTTCCAGGGGCTGCTCCCGTGCCCATGGTGTACAGGAGCTGCAGTCCTGGAGCCATCCCCACCTGGAACAGGGAGACACAGCAAAACCAAAGGTGTGCCAGGTCCTTTGCTGCCCCTGGTACCACCCAGGGCCCTTTAATACACTTCCCTCCTGTGGCCCCAACAGCCACCTCGGCATTTACAGGCTGTTTCTGTTATGATGAAAAACTGATGGCAGGGTTAGATATGTCTTAAAAAAACAGCACACCAAGTCCTGCTTCAGTAAGAACAGTCAGACCATGGAACACGGGGCACTTTGCTTTCTCAGGGCTCCAAACTGGCTCCCTTGGTCAGTTTTTTTACCCAAAACCAGCTCTCCTCATCCCATCTCTCCTATTTTGTTTTTACCCTATTTAAATGTTTCACTCATTTTACTTTCCTGGGTTTTTGATGAATGCCTGAAAAGAATGCTGACCCTGACCACAGTATTTACACTGTGTTCCTCCATGTGTAGGTGTTTCCATTCTTTCTGCTCCCACCCAACAAGTGCTATTTCATTGTT